CTAATTTTTTTGCCATTCAGAAGTCAAGTAACGAGTAAGTCAAGTGTGTTCAGGTGTCTTTCCAGCCCAGTACATCCTCAGTTATTACTGCAGCTCTTCTTCTTCCTCATTTTCTTTTTTCTTCAGCCACTAGAAACCCATCTCTTTCTTCACTGATGCGCTCTATCTGATTTATGTCAAGATCATAGGTTAAAAAATGCAGAGTAAGTGAATACAGGTCTGTGTGTGTGTGTGAGAGTGTGATAGTGTAAGAGAGACGGGGAAAAGAGAGATTTGCTATTATGCGTCATTCTTTGTGTCTGATGCTGGTCGGATATTTCTATCAGAGCTATTGTTAAAATGATAGGCCTCTCAGGCTTAGCTGAAGATTAAAGTTCCCTGCAGGGCTGCACAGTCTGATTTAATTAAAAAAATACATTTATTTAGCGACATAAAACATCATCATGACACTTTAATAGCAAATGATGTAGGTAGAGAGAGTGATGACTCATCATATTGAGTGTGTGAATGTCACAGTCTAAGTAGCATCTTCTCAAACCGTCTAAACTTCTTCATACTTTTTTTCCATTGACTTTTCTAAATCAATTGTTCATGCGCTTCCCTTGGAAATCTGTTGACAGACATTCCTTGCGTTAAACCTCGTATGTGAAATGGGAAATTCCGGTTCCAGATTCCAGTTTTTTGGATCAGTGCCGGCCTCCTCTTGTGGAAATTTTAGGATCATCCTCTCGGAGCTACAGACACTGACTTCAGATGTGGAAGTTAAATAAATAAAATCATTTCTCCATGGTAATTTTCATCAAACCTGCCAAATGCAGCCTAAATATTTGACATGGAAGGAGAGAAGATCAGTGAGAAGTGAGATCAAAGAAGGAGTGTGTGTGTGTGTGTGTGTGTGTGTGTGTGTGCGTGTGTGTGTGATGAAACGTATTCTGCGTATTCTGCGTATTCCGCTCCATCTCCTCCACACATGGGAGTAATCTAAACTCAAGGCAACGTCAGAGAGAGAGAGAGAGAGAGAGAGAGAGAGTGTGTGTGTGTGTGTGTGTGTGTGTATGAGAGTGGTCTCCAGCCACTAGCAACTATTCTTCATATTCCTGTCACCTACTCTTCTTCTCTCTCATCTTCCTCTGTCTCCAAAACAACACACACACACACACACACACGCACACAAAACGATTGTATTTGTCTTTATCAGTCCCTCCATTTTCCTCGCCCCTCCTTGTGTTCAGTCTCCTTCGTTCAATATTTCATGCTGTTGAGAGCATATCTATTCTGAGCTCTCTCTCTCTTTCTCTCTCTCTATATATACGCCCTCTCTTCCTCCATCCCTCCCGTCTTTTTTAAAAAAAAACGTCTCTCTACACATCAGTCTTGCTGTCCTCTCCCTCTTTCTGTACTTCTATAAATCTCCCCCCACCCCACCCACTCTCTATATCTCATTGCACTCCTAATGTTCTGTGCCCCATCTAACTCTTTCTCCCAACCCTGACTTACATTCTCATCCACCCTTTCATTTCCTCCTCCTCCTCCTCCCCTTCCACTTCTCCGTCCCTCCCTCCTCTCCTCTCCTCTCCTCTCCTCTCCTCTCCTCTCCTCTCCTCTGTCCCCTCTGCTGGCTCAGTTTGCGTGACTGTTCAAAAGTATCCGCTCCTCTTCTCCTTCCCTTAAGCCCTCACTCCTTCTCTCTCCTCTTTCCCCCTTGGATTCCTCTCCAACCAAAACACAGAGAAAGCCCTGTTCTCTCTTTTTGCACCTCTTTCGTTTTTTTGCATCCCCCTCCCCGCCTCCCCCTCTCTCGCACGTTCTCCTTCTCCCATCCAATCTTAGTGGCACCTCTCCTCCTCATCCTCCTCTCTCTCTCTCTCTCTCTCTCTCTTTCTTTCCTCCTCCAACGCTCTGTCGTACTCAGCTCCATCTCCACCACCCACCCCACCACAGCCGCCACTCCACCCCTTAGTCTCCCCCTCGCTCTTAGCCCGTACCAGTGTTGTTTTAGGCACAGCAGTGAAAGGTAAACAGAGAGATTGAAAATTCGTGTCAGTCAGTCGGGTGAGAGAGGGACAGGGAGGGAGGGAGAGCAGCAGAGGTGGTGAGGGAGCGAGAGGAGGCGGGGGGAGTGTCAGTACAATTTACTAACACAACAGTGAACAGCGAAGCAGGCCAAGACACAGAGCGAGCGGGAGGCGGAGTGAGAAAGAGACTCACAGTTCAAGAATGCCATTGAAATGCAACGTACATACAAGTGTACCAAGAAAATAAAAAAAGAAGGTGTTTACTGTATATTCACATGATGTTCATGTACATTCAGGGGTCCTGCTGAATTCATATGTGCATTGTTTACTTCCTGGGGCCCCGGAGAGGGATGTGAGCCCTACAGGGGCCTAATATCCAATTATCAGCGCTATGAGAAAGCTCTGATTAGATTTCGAGGTTGCAGAAAGGAGCACTTGACAGATGTGCTGTTGGCCAACTCTGGGTTGGAAATGTCATAAGAGCCTCGGTGTCACCGCATGCAGTCAGCCTCGAGGTCGTTTCTCATAATAACCTCAATACAAAAGTAATCCAATAGCACTGCTACCCGCGCCTGCAAAATCCAACCTGGACGATTAGAATTGACAGGGGTGTTTGCTGGAATATGTCAGCATCTGTTTAAAAGAAACTGAATGGAAATGTGAGAAATAGAATTTTTGTTACTTACGTACAGAATCCCTGCGTCCATGGGTGTTTGATTTCCAACTTTGTTGCACCTGATTTACAGTTTCCTTTAAGATGTAGCCATACAGTATATTTACAACCCAGCCCCCTGTAGTCTCCATACAGTAAATCATCCATGCTCTATAGGCTGGGATCTGGATTTTAGGGGTCAGTTCACCTAAATGGAAAGAAAAAACACATTTCCTCACTTACTTCCAGGCGTATCTAGCCATGCAGATAGTTTTGGTTTTATTTGCTCACATATTGAGATTTCTGCTGTCTCTCCAATAATATCAAGGTGGATGTGACTGCTACAACTAATATTCAACAAACAGCACCACTTTCCAGAAACAATATCCCTGTCATTATAGGTCTGAGAAAAATATTCTCACTTACTCTTCTATTCTGAAGCCACACGGAGCAAAGCTATTTCCCCCGTTTCCAGTCTTTAAAAAAGTCTAATTATTCCTTTAATTTTTTAATCTAATCTGATTTTTCAATGCTGTGGGCAACAAATATAGACAAAGAGACAGAGCCTGAACAAAAAAATCTAAAATTGTAGTAGTCATGACAAACCAACCCTCTCAGGGCAGAATGTGAGAGGCTGAATATTTTCTATATATATATCTATATATATATAGATATATATATGCCTATAGGCATGTATATTTAATTGTACCAGGTGTTTCACTGTATCGCTGTGATTCTACACAACACAGCGATAAACAGAGATACAACATGGAGAGACTGAGGAGAAATGATGGACAGAGGAGCAGGGAGAAGAGGCAAAGGAGGAGTGCTCATTAAAAAGTTGCATGCCTGCTGTAAAGGAGAGAGATGAAGGAGGAGGCAGAGGCAGAGGAGACAGGTAGACCACCAGAGACAAAGCTAACAAAAGACAGAGGCAAAACAGCAGAGCCAGGTAGCAGGGATCGCAGAGTGGAGAAAGTTTGCATTGGAAATTGGAGAATAAGCTGAAAAGAGAGAGAGAGAGAGAGAGAGACAGTGGGGGGATTAAATGGACAGCTCATGAGAGGCGTGGAAGGACCGGAGAAGACAGAGGGATTCCCTGATGGCATCTCATCTCTCTCTTTTTCTTGCTCTCCTTCTTCTTATTTCCCTCCTTTTTTCTCCCAATAAATCATTCTGACTTCTCCTTAACCAACTCATTCCCAGCAGGCAGCAAAAAAACTGTAACAATCTTTCTCCTATCTGCTATCTCTCTCTTTTTCTCCCTCCTCCTGTCTCTTTCCATGTCTGGCCTGCCCCCCCCCCCCCCCCCCCCCACACACACACACACACACACTCACACACACACACACACACACACCTTAGATGCACAGTTTGTGGCAGTGGAGGTGACAGTGGGGGGTAAATTACTGAACATTTTACCATGCCTCTGCAGGACATAGTTGCTGCATCCATTACTAACTCAGGAATATATGAGCCACAGTTGCATGACAGCAACTCTAACATCTATTACAACTTAATTGCTTTTTGAAAAATTAGCTCTGTTATGGGATAACTGGCAAAATGAAACTGCAAGTCACTTCTTATCAAAACTTAGACAAACCGTAATTAATCAATATAGTGTCACTGTGAACATCCAAATGTATAATATGATACACAGTTTGTAAATTTTCTTTATGGTGGGTGGAGAATACCTGAGAGGACATGCGCGTGCGTGTGTGCACGAGCCTGCGTGCGAACGTGCTGCAGCTATAAGAGGATTGCACATGATAATAGTGATGTATTAGAGTGACTTACAGTGTCTGGGAATCCAAGCAAGGAGGGGTGGTGGTGGTGGATATATGTGTGCGTGAGTCGGTGTTTTTTAGCTTTCGTAATAAAAATGCAGAAGTGTGTGTATGCGTTTGTGAGTAGCCTGAGTGTGTGTGTGTGTGTGTGTGTGTGTGTGTGTGGGGGGGGGGGGGACGTTGAAAAATAGGCTACAGATGGTGGCTGCAGACGTATCTGGCAGAGGAGGGGGATTCAAAGCTTTCTACTTTTACACCGGCAGTGGAGGTCGAATAATTGACAAAAAAAAAAAAAAAAAAAACTTCAAGTCGCAGTGATGCCTGATGTGCAGCGACTCGGCCACAATATTGGAGGAATGCGCTTTTGTCGCTCGCTGGGGGTGGAGTTACAAAGTGAACGAGCGCTGCCTACCAAACAGAGAGAGGAGAAGGAGGAGAGAAAGAGAGGAGAGAGACGGGCTGGCAGGCTGCTCGCCGTAAACGATGGTTGTCGGATAGAGTCTTGAAGACCTAATGAAACTGGCTGGTTGAATTGTTTGCGGCGGTTACAGAGCTCAGTATCCCGGCGTGCTTTGCATTTCTCGGATCCTTGGAAGGAGACAAGAAACTGCAGCAGCACGCAGATAACAACAGTTAAAAAAGGAAGAGGACTTGCTTATTATCTGTTATTATACCACTGTTTTTTTTTCACCTGTAATTTCCATTTCACGTAAGCAGCACTCAACTCTTTCCCAGAGGACAGGAACGTTTCATGCTCAGGGGAAGACCGACCTCCTGCTTGGACCCAGTACCGGCCTCCCACATTCCTCTGGCGGGCTCAGAAGCAGCAGTTCCCGGTGAGCAGAGAGAACCAGGCGCTGCTCGGGCTTTATGGGGAACCGCTCATAAGGACTTCCAGAAACCCTCTTGTTTGAAACCCCAGGATTTGTTGGGGAGGGAGCAGTGGGGGGTTCGCAGTGTCTGGTTTATGGGGGAAGGGGGCGGGGGGAACAAAGTCACTCCACACCACAATAGACTTCTGAGTTTTACAACACTTATTAACCAGAGCAAGTCTTAACAGTCTGTGAACGTATCCGTTTGTATGTATGCATGAAGCTTTTTGTTTCCCCCCTCTCTCGTCTGTTAGGCATTTGCTGGGATGTTTGAGTCGCGTTGTTTGGTGGGGTGAAGGGACCGAGAGAGTGGCTGGAGTGACCGAAGGGGACGGAGGCCGAGAGAGGAGCCGAGAGTATGGCTCTGGTAGCGCTGTCTCTTTGGGTGCTAACGAGTCTCACCTGGGCGAACCTGCTCCAGGTGTCAGCCAACAGGCATTCCGTCTACTGGAACAGCTCCAACATACAGTAAGACCCCCCCCCCCCAAACTCCTCATGTTTAACAGTGTGTGTATGTGTGTGTGTGTGTGTGTGTGTCTGTGCGTGTGTGTCTGTGCGCGCGCGCGTGTGCCATTTCTTTTGAATCCTCTGTTTTCCACCTGTTAAATGGAAATGTCCCGATTTGCACTGTCAGGTTCATACTTTCACACTTTCAGTTCATCTGTGCCTTGCTGCAGTTTTTGAGCCTTGCTTACATACGTTCCTCTAATGCTTTATCAGGGTTGTAGCAACCACCTTCCTCGTCTCTATCTTTTCTGGAAGAAAATATTTAGAACCCCACAAACCATTTCAACAGGCCTCTCATGTTTTTCTGCATGTTAAAGCTATTTTTGAGTCTCAAACTGCTCTGTCAGCCCCCGATTAAGAAGTCAAGGTGGTTTCAAACCATATTTTCAACACCTTCACTTGCACAGCTGGTCAGACATATATAGCTTCTGCTCCTTAGTCCAACACCGATATGTGCATACTCCAATTTAGTCAGTCTCTTCCCTCATTTTCTCTCCCTTCTCCTCTACCTTCAGCCATTCATGGTAGAGTAGAAAGGAAAGGAAAAAGAATCACATGTGATTCCCTCGTCTACCTCTCCTCCTCCTCCTCCTCTCTCCGTCATGTGGCTCTCCTCTCTCTCAGTCTTTCAGGACTCTTTCTCTCTGTCTTCTCCTCTATCTGGTTCAATTAGGAGCACTTCTTCATCCTGACCCCATTGTGTTGTAGCAGTGTCACTGTTCAATCTCTCCTTCTCGCTCCCTCTCCAACTTGCTCTCTCCTTCTATCCCTCTCTAACCCCTTTCTTGTTTACACTCAGTCCGTTGGCCTTTTTGTTATCCTCCTAATCCCTCGCTCCTTGCTCCGATCTCGATTCAAGTGAAAAAGAGTCTTTTTTCCCCTCTCTTTCTCTTTTTTTTGAAAGCTGCCTTTTTTTTAATACTGTCCACGTGAGTCCATGGCTCTGCTGCTGGATTCTTAAGAATGTAGTGTCAGTCTGCAGTAACACACTCTCCCCCAACCATTCACAGTAAAATCTTGTACGTTTATGTTGCACCATCTGCGTTTCATCAGGTCTTCATCTGTGCGTCCACATCTCGTGTGTTAAATTTACAGATGCTCCCTCGCCTGCTCGAAGTGTGTCGATGAAATGTTGCTAATTTACAACTGGATGTCAGATATTGGCTGTTTTTTTTTTTTTTTTTTTTTTTAAAGGTTTCATTTTAGTGAGCAGTTCAGCAAGTCGTAATCTATTTTGTGTTCCAGATAAAGTCATAAAATTGTGCAACAATCACCCTGTAGGTCTCAGTGGTGCATAAGAGCGCATGTCACACACTAACACACACCTTCCTTTTCGTTCTCCATCTTGCAGTGGAGCCTGTCGTCCGTGTGTACGCTGTGTTTTCGGCTGCACTCAAAACATCCCAGTATGTGGTATTTACCTCTTCAGCAGAATGTGCTGGGCTCCTAAGATGAGCAGTCCGAAAATACAGTGGCTCACACTTTATGACCGCACTTATTAAAGACGCAAACAATGTGAAAACGGATCATGTTTGCCGACCATTACTCTAAGGCCGATGATTTTAGTTTACAGCGTAAAATAAAACTATGAGTGAATTTATACCCCACAACACAATTGCTATACACAAAGTACTGCATAAAGTAATAGGAGCGGAAAAAATAAGGTTATTGGTTGTGGTATGAATCTGTAAACAATATTAGTTTTCCTGAACGTGAGAAAATTATTTCCGCACATTATAGAAATAACTAATATTGTGTGCGCAGTTGCTACTAGTGCATTTTAGTTAATATTTTTCTGCAACTCTTAAAATAAAGAGTGCTCAGTTTCAATTTTTTTTTTTTTTTTTTTTTGCTCAGTAATAATTTTATAATAAATGCTAATGAAATTCCACCTTTGGTTTTCATACCAGAGACAGAAGTTGAGTAAGATAAAATGTAAAAAAAAAAAAAAAATCGCTTAAAGGTCGAAGGAAAAGGAAGAATGAACCCTGGACCTCGGTGTAGCAGCAGTTTTAACCTTGGTAGAATGTATCCTCAGTTAAGTCATATATCAGCTGTTCTCTGCTGTACATTCAAAGTGTTTACTGATAAAAAAAGCTGCAGTTGGTGTTTCAGACAAAGCAGAGGGAGGACTAACGCAGACTGGAGCAGCCTAACCTTTAACCTGACTGTCCAGAACCTGAGCACTGCAGAGCCCCGCAGGTCTCTTCTCTCTCTCTCTCTCTCTCTCTCTCTCTCTCTCTCTCTCTCTCTGGCTCCACACTTTCACCGCCAGTACTGTTTTCATCCCAGCGGCAGAATATTCTTAGCCCCTGCAGTGTGAGCCTTAGTGTGTGTGTCTTTTAAAAAAGACTGTGGTTAATTAAAGAATGGTGCATCTCAGTGGACCTGCCTCATCCCTGATCTTCCCATCTCTTTCTCTCTGTCTCGTTCTCTCTGCACACATGCACAATGACAATGTATGAGCAGTGAGTGGGGATAACTTTTTCAATTCAGCCTACTTAGTGAATTAGGAGACAAAAGGGCCATAGACAGTGGCACACAAAAGAAAGATAAACTACAGAATAACCTGTCTAATCTACTCTTTCATACACTTCTGTGCTATTTTTTCAACAGCACAGATCCTATTTCCAGCATTTATTTTAATCTCTGCACTCAACACCACAACATCCAACATTTGTAGGGTTGGCTGGCGTGTCTCTAGCCGTTGGCGATCGGCCTCTCTGGAGTTTCTCTAACTCGCAGTGCAGTGTGGAGGTTTAGAAGGCCAATAATAAGCTGTAGTATAGCTGTCAGTTTGAGTGGTAAACACATTGTAAAGCCTCAGGACTCTGCAGCTTCTCAACCAGCTTCTGACCCTGAGCCACTCATCAACCACAAGAGACGGGCTGAGACTGTTAAAAAAGATTAACTACTTCACACACACACACATACATGCAGACCCCAACACAATGCGCATGCACACTCGCATCTGTACATGTGCACATGCTAGCATACGCACATATTTATGATTATGAGTATACACACAAACATGCTCACGTCACTGCTGTGTACTTTTTTTTTTTTTTTTTTAAACTTTGAAAAGATGGATCATTTCCTGTGTTTGCTTCTTGCACAAAGGCTGTTGCCACTGCCTATCAGTCACTTGTCACTGATATCCCTGGGCATGAGTGTGTGTATAATGGTGTGATGCTTCTTCTGTGTGTGTGGGACGTAGAGTATGTGTGTGTTTGCCCTGTTACAGATGTCTCTGTTCATTGATGGGTGACTGAAACAAAAACAAATCCATCAGTCCGTTAAATCACACATTATCTTCCACCACCTGGCAATTAACCACCGCTGTGAGTGTGAGTGTGCGTGCGTGCATATACATGTGTATGTGTGTAATCTAATAACGCAGCAGTTAACTGATTTGCATAATAGATATCTGGTGATATCTCTTAATTTATCAGTTGTATATTTCGGAAGCGATTAGGTTTCGAATAAACAAACGCACAAACATTTCCAGACTGTGTGTGTGTGTGTGTGTGTGTCCATGACACCGTCACCTCAACGTATGCCACTGGAATGAAGCCAGCTTTCGCAAGCAGAATTCACTCCTCATATAAATTCACATGCATTATGTGTGGTAATCGACAGCAAGGTGGAACTGGTTTTATATTCATCCAGCTCGTCAGAGTGCGCAGAGACACGTCACACAGGGCAGCAGAGAAATAATGCAAGAATATGAGAAGAGAGAGAGAGAGACAGTGAGAGAGAAATGCTATGGGACTGGATAGCGGAGGGAGGAAATCAGGAAGAATACAGATGGATTTTGTGTTGAATTATAATAAAGCAGGGGAAGAAGGTCATCATAATAATGATAATAATGCTTGGCTGGTGCCCTGATCCACACACTGAGTTCTCACATTAGGCACCATAATACAGGATAACACGGGCCTAGTTCGTGTGTGTGTGTGTGTGTGTGTGTGTGTGTGTGTGTGTGTGTGTGTGTGTGTGTGTGGTGTGTGTGTGTGTGTGTGTGTGTGTGTGTGTGTGTGTGTGTGTGTGTGTGTGTGTGTGTGTGTGTGGTGTGTGGGCGGGCGGGCATGAGAAAGGGTGAGGAAACGTAGAAGCAGACGAGCGGATTAAACAGGCCAATCAACCATCCCCTTGACAGCAACACAAACCTATCTGTCTCACAGCCCCACTTAGGACAACAACATTTACATTTATGAATATCTGCACAAAGGAGAGTATTACTCACTCGCTATCACAAGGCTTGCCTGCGCGTGTGTGTGTGTGTGTGCGCACAGCCCATCCATCATGGACGTTTGTGCTGCCGCTACGTATGTCAGCTACTACTCTGATGTGTGTTTTGTGCACATGCATGCACACAATCACACCTCACACACACCTCACACACACACACACACACACCCAGTGATCATTATAACAGTTATATAGGCGCAATGATCAGACGATTCATTAGTAACGAATAATAAGGCCACATAACGTATGGGTGAATGGATTCTGGTTTGCGTAGCCATGTGTGGGTGTCAGAGTGTATGTGCGGTGTGCAGACAGTCGCAGAGACGTCATTAATTAAAAGCAATAGGAACACCTGTGTGATGGATGACTGCTGTTTGCATAATAAGATCTAGTGGTCTTCTCTCTCTTTATCGTGCTGTTGCTCTCTGTGTATGTGTGTGTGTGGAGTAAATACATTTTTCTGATTGGACAGGGATTGTCTGCTAGGTGCACACAGCAGTAAGGGACAAGTATAAGAAAGGAGGAAAAGAAATGAATTATTTTCTCTTCCTCTATCTTTTTTTTTTTTTGTCTTCGGGGGTGAGCTAGATTTCAGGAGCATGCTCCCACCTCTCTGTTGTTCTCCCATCCTCCCAATTGCCTGATGGGAAAGCACCCTGGGGGGGGTGGTGGTGGTATTTTGGGATCTGTATGGTTTTAATGTGAATGTT